GGGGGGGGAGAGGGAATTGTTTAAACAAAATTAAAAATTGCTTATTTCACGCAAAATTAAGCGTAAAGTACTCAAATTTTTGAAAAATTGTAAATGAACTTTCTTAATCTATCTTTTAGGAACAGATTTCATTAAGAGGGAAAAACAAATATCTTCATTTAGTTACAGGAAGACCATGAAAAAATTTTGCGCTTCTGCAATTTTTAAAATAATAGGGTTTTCTATGAAAATGAGACTTGCACCATTCTCTTAAATGTCCTCTACATTATCCAATAACAGTGTTTAATCAAAAACAGAGCCACTTTTTTTTAAATTATGAAAATATACCAGGGGAAAATATACCAATAATGTTTTACGCTGAAAATTCGCCGCTTTTTCCCGCAGCATTAGATAAATAAATAAAATAAATAAATAAATAAATAAAAATAAATTAAATAAATAAATAAATAATAAATAAAATATATATATAATAATTAATATATATATATATATATATAATAATATATATATATATATAGAATCACGAGAAAAGTTAAAAGATGCAAATTCACAACGTAACAATTAATATGCTATATTCAAAATAGAGTTTACAGAGATGAATTGGCAATGCAACATCAGATTGTCAACAGGAATGACAAAATCGTCATTCACTTCAAACACATATGACAAAGACTGGACAATGCGAACTGGCACTGAAGCAACAATTAAGTTGGCAAGAGACAATCTTTTGGCCAAGATGCCACTGAAATTCATTCAGAAGATATATAACTGCTCCATATGTTTGAACTCTCAGCAGCAATGAGCAATGCAGTTATATGAAGTTCCAGTGTGCTATTTTCAGTACTTATCTACAGATGTTATTTTTCTCCCCCCTGAGTACGAAGGTACAAATGCAATATTCCTAGTTACTCACAATATATATCCAATTTGTTTTTCAAATTTATTATTAGAAACTTTTAACACACAAGAAACATTTCATGATACGTCTTTAAATGTAAGATAAAGGAAGAAGTTTCAATAATAAGTGGATGCATTCTTTCACAAAAATGGGGGGATATAAACTCATCACATCAGCTCCTAAACAGCTCAAGAGGGAATGGAAAAGCTGAACCTACGGTGATGACTACGAGGAATCATCAAAGAAAGAAAATGAAAGTGGGGAAGATATTGCTACACTAGAGAATTCTAGTGTAGCAATAATTTTCCTCAAATAATAATAAATTTAATGAATATTTTACCTTGTCTTTCACCAAGAGATGAAATTTGTATATTCTGTTACATGTATTTTGTATTGTGTTGATGAAAACATTTTTAGTGGTACCCAATGAATCATTTCTAAAAAATAAAACTTAAATTAATCAATCATTTTTTTTTTGGAAAAAAAAAAAGGAGGGGGGAGATGAACATATACATATGCAATAGGTAGATCAGGAAAGAACAATATGGTGTAGTAGGTTAGCAGTCATTAGTAGATAGTTGTGATGAGTAGTTATATCAAGTAGTTGTTACAAGACTAGTGTTATTAAAGTGAAAGGTGATATTTACATAAAACCTCAGAGGTATTTATTTCAAGATATAAAAAACAGAAATTATATTATGGTATTATTTAAAACAAACTATAATAACCACATATTGTTTGTTTGTTTGTTTGTTTTTGTATTCTGATGTAGGAGTTTTTTCTTACAATTTCAGGGTGACACCTACTGGCACTGTGCTCATATGGATATTAGTAAGTCAACAACTACTTTGGCTACTGTTGTTGTTCTATTCTTTTACTGTTTAACTGTCATTGTGTTTTTTTGAAATTCTGCCAACACTAGTAAGCACTAGCCTTTTGTAGCAACACTATTTGCTATAAAAAAAGTGTTGGAATGGTTTTTGAAAATTTGCCATTTATATGCAAATATTATATATGTGATATTTTACTTGTGTGACTTAAGCGATCTGTTGTTTCTTGAATACTAAATGAGAAATTTGTTCCAATTTTTTTTCTAGTTTTCATCACTCATCAATACAATGCCATATGGAGGGCAACAGTACTATTCAATATAATAACAAGTTATTCCTACATTTTTGGATAAATTGTTATTTTTAATTATTATATGCCTGTTAATGAATTCTTATTAGAGATATGATCATCTTGTAGAGTTTGAACCACATGAAGCAATGAAATCTGCCAGTTAAGTTTTAAGTTATTAGGAGTTAAATTTGGAAATTTTTGATTTATGATCTGCCTTCCTAGAAAAGAAGAGCTACATCACTTATATTATGAAAACACTGCAATTAAAAAATGTGCCTGTACTGTATTGAATGGCAATTTCATTAGCGCACTATAAATACTGTGCAGTGATTTACTAAAATCATAGATATGCAGACGTCATGTGTGATACAAATATATAATTCATCATGCCTTCATGGTCACATTTCTTGAATTGCAACACCCAGTGTCACCAACTGGTGTTACCTTCAAGAAATGAGATTATTTACTTAGGCTAAAATAAAGGGTTATAAATATTTGTATTTGTTGTGTAACACATTTAGAATTATGTCAAAAAATTTCACATACTTTAGAAATGAGAATGGTCGAGTTCAATAAATATTGTGTTCAAAATTTAACGAAGTTGATTACAGTTTAACATTGTTAATGAAACTCACTTCCAGCACTTCCTACTTCAAGCATGATTTTTTTTCATATGCCCTGAATCACTGAAGCTTTTAAATCCAGCCCAAATTCATCTTAAAATATACAGGAACCCACCAAAATACAGAATCCCTTAATCCCATGATCTTCATTCCTTCAATTATCTTCTTTTCTTTCTCACCAACAATTAGAAGTAGAAGATAGTACATAAACTGTGAAAAGGCCACCATCATGTAGTATGGTACAAGCAGACGCAGGCTATACAACCAATCTGAAATGAAAGAAAATATTTACAACATATTGCATTAGAGAGGACTCCTACAATAGAGTATATAAACTATCATGCAACAAAAACATAAAAAATAAAAATGTTAACATAATTTTCAATAAGTTACTACAGTTTGATGAGGCTAATATCCCTTCTTTCAGAGATAACTGTCACAGAGTTGATGTATTTTCCTCTTCTAACGACAAAGTGCAGTAACAAGTTGACTCTGGATGTCACATTAGACAGAGACTTCAGAAATTATTGTACAACACAGTGATTACATAAGTGGAAGTGAACTTCATATTGAGGTTTGCAAGTTGTTCAAAAGAAGGAAATTTACCATAGAGCCAAAAGGACTAACTCCTATATTTCTCCATCCCAGTCTTCCACGTTCTCAGCTCTCAGCAGCAGATAATCTCTCCTCTTTCCTCCTCTCTTTCAAAACTACATCCACAACCATGACCACCACCACCACCACCAATTCCACCCCAACTGCATCATCAAACTACTAGTTTTAATTTCTGATAACAGTAAAACTGAGTGGAGATGACTTTAAAAAACAAAAAAACAACAACAACAACAACAACAAAAAAAAAATCAACAAAATCTCTATAAAGTACCTATTTTATGGCCTGCCATAATTTAATTAGTAAAATTAAAAAATGAAGTAATTTCAAAAGGGCTCAGTAACATTTTGTAACACATTTGTAAAGAGAGACTAAGGGTCTTCAGCCATGGATTCATGGGCAGAGGAGAACTGTAGTAAGCAACCCTTCTCACCTTTTATTTGGTAATCTCTAACAGTGAAACACTGTAAGTAACAGTGTAACACTACCACATTCAATGTGCTTCAAATAAAACGGAGTGTCAGTTTATTTTAAACAAAAAATAGTATCTCAATTTGGTGATTATGTGATTTTCAACTGATGGAAGCTTATTGTATTGCAAAATATGTGAACTAAAGTAGCTGCTGAAAGACTGTTTACTAGAACACAGTACATCACTGGCGAAAACTACGTCCATGTTCTTCAGTGTGTATCAAGCAGAGCTGTAATTCAACTGCTTCAACCTCTCTGTCTCTAAGTTCAGCAAGAATTGTGTAATGTACTAGTAAATTCATTCATTAGTATCTTTCATCATTGTATATTTAAGAGATTTTTGTTGCCAACGCAATGAGATGGGCCAGACTTTTGAGTCCTCATTGGTTTGGCGTGAGCCGAATTCTGACCCCCCAGGCCAATGTTCTGACAAAAATTTTGGTTTACCATGCATAAGATATAGAACGATAGGTTGAAAGCAATGATAGATCTTTTCTTTCTTTTAGAGCTGGGACGATGAGGGCTCGTCTTTATATAGAACAGGGATAGTGTGGACTTCCCAGATATTATAGAGGACGAGAAGAATTTGATTAGCCATTCCAGGATGATTTAGCATTAAGTTGAGTAACTCGTCCGGATCTTCCTGCTTCTTTTCGCAAGTGCGAGAGCAGAGCGCATTTCAGACATGGAGAATCAAGAATTGCAATCCTCTGCCGCTATTTGAAAAATCCAATGTGTGGTTCTACAATCTTTCTTTAACCAAAAGATCTTAGTTCTCCAAATTTTTTATTTTTTTGATAGTGAGCGGTGAGTTCCTTTACGATGACGTCTCGAAATGATGCCATCTGTTCAAATACCTACCATTATGTTTGAGGTTGAATTTCTTTTAATTTGACTTATCTTTCTCCATACCGGACGTGGTGGTGCATGGCAATTGAGAGGAGACGTATGCTGTTAATTTTTGCTTTCTCAAATGGTTTTACACGCATTCGCTCTACACATACGATCGTATAATTTTGCACCCTAGGATTCACTTTTAGTTGGGCCAGTGCTTTTTTTATGGGTGCTGATCGCTTTTCAACTGTTTATATTCCATGGGACAAAGGTTGATTTTGGAACTGCAGAGGAAGCAGCTAGAGCAGGACTTGCCAACTCAATGCTCTGTGACGTCACAAAAATTGCTCTCTTGCTCAGAGCCGAGCCTCTGAGCAAAGTCAGTGCCGGACGCGGCGTCATACAGTGTTCCAATGATGGTATGGAAGTGGGGGAAAAGTTCCGCTTGAAAATTATATTTTTAAATGGAAATTATTATTTAGATGGTTATAATTTCATAAAAATATGAAAAATAAAAAACGAAACTTGGATTATTTCATTACACAAAGCAATATCCGACATTATTTATCTAGCCGGTACTGTAATTCCACTTTCATTCTTCTGACACACAACATTTTTGGAGAAGACAGTTTTAACATTTTAAAACAATATTTTATACAATGTTATATAATATAACAATTGTAGTTCATCCCGAACCAACAACACGGGCAGACAAAATAAAAAAGTTGTAAATAAGTAAAATAAAAGAGACCCAAAAATTATACACGTTTTTATATGTATGTCAACGCGCTGAACATGGAATGTTAGAATCTTATATAGGATAGGGGCAATTAAGGATCTAACCAGTCAACTTAATAAATATAGAGGAGAAATAGCGGCTATATAGGAAACCAGATGGTTGGGCAGTGGTATTGATGACTTACAAAATCATGCAAGTTTTTATAGTGGAAATATTAAAAGGAAATTACAAATTCAGAGTGGCTTTTGTTATAAAAAAATATGAGGTCAAATGTTTTAGCTTTTAAAGCTATTAATGAAAGGATAGGGGTTCTAAGGATCAAATCCAAATCTTAAACATCAGCATTGTGAATACGCATGCCCCTATTGAGGAAAGAAAGGAGAAACAGGAAGAGCAAGAAGGGGAAAGTTTTTACCAACAGCTGGAGGATACCCTAGATACACTGCCTAGCAATGATGTCAAGCTGATTATCGGTGATTTCACTGCCAAGGTAGGTAAGGAAAGATGCTACCATGGAACTATCGGAATTAATAGTCTTCACAAGAATACAAGAACGGGGAGAGGCTAATAAATTTTGCAGCCAAGAAAAACTTGATAATTAGCTCAACATATTTCCCTCATCGGAACATTCACAAATGGACATGGACCTCCCCTGATGGGAAAACTCATAACCAAATAGATCACGTACTGGTAGATAAAAAAGCAACTGGAATAATGGATGTAAGGTCATATCAAGGTGCTGAGGGATCAGATCACCTGGTGATAATGAGATATAGAAGTCGGATATCACGTGTAAGTAGAAACCACTCTAAAGAACCCAGAAAATGGAATATCCAGAAAAATAAAAAATATCTAGAAAAAGAAACAAGAGTGAAATATACAGAAGAAATAGAAGCAAGAATAAATGATCTCCCAATTAAAGTATGGAGGAAATATGGACTAGACTAAAGAATAGCATCAGTGAGTCAGCAGACGCTATATTGGCTTCGAGAAAGAACGGAAGAAAAAAGTATGGTTTGATGATGAATGTGTTAAGGTAATGCAAGAGAAATGGGCAGCTAGACAATACCTGCAATGACCAACAAGAGCCAAAAGGATGGAGTATGAAGATAAACGTAGGATTGCCACAAAAGTATATAGACGAAAGAAAGGGGGAACATACAACAAATATATCAACAGATTGAGGAACATTTTAAGAGGAATGAAATGCTACACGCATACAAAGACTTAAAGTTTTAAGAAGGGATATGCCCCTAAGACAAGCTTTGTGAGAAATAAAGAGGGGATAATGGTTAGTGAACCAGAAAGAATTAAGCAAAGATGGGTAGAGAACTTCAGGGAGCTCCTGAATATCATGGATACATGGGGAACATTATTGGAGGAAACTATGCAGGTGGAGTAAAAGGAAGAAGAAATGGTGGAAGAACCAATTATAGAGGAAGTTATAGAAGCAGTGAGATCATTAAAAATAATAAGTCTCCACGGGTTGATGCGCTGCCTTCGGAGTTAATCAAAGCCAGAGAAGAACACACAGTGCGAGCTATTTGATGGTTGATTAAGAAGATATGGCAGAATGAAAATATACCTATGGAATGTAATACTGAAATTATATGCCCTATGTACAAGAAAGGAGACAACATGGAATGCCACAATTATCGAGGTATATCACTATTAAGTAAAGTATACAAGATCTATACGAATATTCTTAGGAAAAAGACTTGAAAAAGACACAGAAACCATTCTGGGAGAATACCACGCTAATTTTAGGAATGGAAGATCTACCACAGATCAAATATTTACGGTGAAGCTGATAATGAAGTGCTGGGAACATGGTATTGGAGAATATCACATTTTTGTGGATTTCAAACAAGCATACGATAGTATTACTAGAAATAAGCTATATAAGCTATTTAAGGAATACCAGTAAAAGTGATACGTCTAATACGATTAACAATGGCCACAACCAAAGCAATAGTGAAGTTACAGGGATATAAAACAGAGGCTTTTGAAATTAGACAAGGATTAAAACAAGGTGACGGATTGATTCCCCTGCTGTTAACAAATGGACGTAGTGGTAAAACAAATGAACGTAGATCTGAGCACTATGATCCTATATAGAACAGTACGGATAGTTGGGTATGCTGATGATTTAAACATTATTGGAAGATCAATATCAGCAGTTAAGGAAACATTACAAGTCCTAAACATTAAGGCTAAGGAAACTAGATTAAGTATAAATACTGATAAATCTAAAACAATGGCCCAAATAAGGAAGGGAATAAAAAATATCACAATAACTCTGAATGAGAGCAAAATACAAGTAAATGAATTCAAATACTTGGGTTCTGTGATCACTAATGCTAAAGATGAAGGGACTGAGATACAACAACGAATGATTGTGGCCAACAAAAAATAGAGGAATATTTAAAAACCATGAAGTGGGCAGAACAAAAATATCTATGTACAAAGTGGTATTAAGAACAGGGCTTAGCTATGGCTGTGAAACATGGGTTATGACCCAGACAATAGAGAAAATAAATTGATGGTGTTTGAAAGAAGGATTCTGAGAGTTATTTTTGAGGCAGTACTGGAGAATGGACAAAGGCAGAAGC